TCCGAGCTGATTCATCCTCAGATTAAACTAATTTATACTAATGTTCGAATCATTTATACAATTGATTCCGTAAAATATTCCTCCTTCCGCGGCCGACATTTATATAATATTCCTTATATAAAGCACAAAAATAATGAACCGAGAATAACACACAGAGCATCTGAATAATTTAGAAATAAATCAGAGATCTATTAGGTCATCCTGTTTATTTTGAGAAAAAAGTTAATTGAGCATCTTTATTCCAAATAATTTCCATAATACTCGATGTACCTGCTTTTAATTTCTGCACGAAAGTTTGAATCCCTGAGAAAAAGGTAGACAGAAATGGATCGGTTTGGGACGAACCTAATTTATTAGGCAATTCGATTCAAAGGCACCGAGTTTCTATCGCGATGGTATTTGCAAAGAATGGCAAAGAATTAAAAATAATGTTTCTCTCTCGAATTGTGTGTTCAGACAAATTTCACTCTCGCGAGCGACTCGCGATCGTCGATCTTTTTGATTTATGATTTTTTTACGGACCGTACACCTAGGCATCAGTTATTTACTACTTTAGCGCTGCGTTAGGTGAAAACGACGCTTGCTAATCCTCGATCTTCCAAATTGAAACCCAACCAAACTTGAGTATCAATTTTTCTTCCCAATGTAACAATTTTGTCACATCTTGACCAGAATCTGCGCCACAAATCCGCCTCCTTCCTCTAAATCAGAGGGTTAACACAATACCGAGAGCTACAGAGCGTTCAAAGCAAGTGAACCCCGACTCTCTTCACCTAGATCCTTCGATATCCCCGCAGAAACTCCTCATAAACCGTCGTAACTCGTAAAAATGAAGAAACAATTTCCTCCTGGAACCATAAAACCCTCCACCCTGAAACGCTACACCACCGCGGAACCTCCGACAGAACGTCTCAACAATAACCAGCCTCTCTTCCAATGGAACGACAAAACTAGAGGCTGTTTCCACTCGCGAAAGACAGAACGAAGAATCGTTCGCCATTCATCCGCTTCGTAAACCAGATAGTATCTCGTGTTGCGGTTTTCGCGAGTGTATCTCCGATTCCTAAACAATATCAAGCACGTCTGGATTTCGAGGCGACCTCGAGAGACAGAGAGAGAGAGAGAGAGAGAGAGAATATCGTCTGGTGATTTTGGAGCTGGAACTTAAAAACGACGGCATCGCTCTCGGTTTAACCTCTGAACTCGGTGTTCGCCAGCAGCCGAAGATAATCGAAAGAGAGAGAGAAAGAGAAAGAGAAGAAGTTACGACACCCGCACACAACAATAATTCCACGCTCAATAATCACGCTCGATTACTGCGCCTCATGTTCGATTACGCAAGAGAGCGAAGAGACGGACGGCGAGGGACGACGGCACTCGGCGAGACGCGTCGCTCGATATCGCGAGATTTAGATTTAGATTTGGTAATTTGGTGACGGAAATTGGTCGGACCAGACCGTGACAAATTAGCGACAGATAGAGTTACGATGATTTGCACGGTGGATAACTGCAAGGTGCTGACCTGCTCGTGTAATCGATGATGTATTGGGGCCTCGTCCGTCTTGGGATTGAGTAATCTGGGGTGGGAAGAGTTGTTGGAAGGGGTTGATTGTTATTAGTGATGGATTGTTTCGTTGTGTTTTTGGGAGGGGAAGTGTGTGTTTGGGAAAAGGGAGTTTGATTGGTTGGAATTTTTTGTTTGGTGGAGGAAGGAGTGTTGGAGTTATTGTGGGGTACGTGGTTTTTGGAATTTTATAGCAAGTGGATTTTGTGCGATTATGGAGTAAATGGTTTTTTGGAATTTGATAGCAAGTGGACTTTGTGCGATTATAGAGTAAATGGTTTTCGGAATTTGATAGCAAGAGGACTTCATGTGATTTTATTAGAGAATAAATGGCTTTTTGGAATTTGATAGCAAGTGGACTTTGTGTAATTATAGAGTAAATGGTTTTCGGAATTTGATAGCAAGAGGACTTTGTGTGATCATGGAGTAAATGGTTTTTGTAATTTGATAGCAAGTGCTCTTTGTCTTATTATAGAATAAATGGTTTTTTGGAATTCTATAGCAAGTGGTCTTTGTCTTATTATAGAATAAATGGTTTTTTGGAATTCTATAGCAAGTGGATTTTGTGCGGTTATAGAGTAAATGGCTTTTTGGAATTTGATAGCAAGTGGACTTTGTGTAATTATAGAGTAAATGGTTTTCGGAATTTGATAGCAAGAGGACTTTGTGTGATCATGGAGTAAATGGTTTTTGTAATTTGATAGCAAGTGCTCTTTGTCTTATTATAGAATAAATGGTTTTTTTGGAATTCTATAGCAAGTGGTCTTTGTCTTATTATAGAATAAATGGTTTTTTGGAATTCTATAGCAAGTGGATTTTGTGCGGTTATAGAGTAAATGGTTTTTTGGAATTTGATAGCAAGTGGGCTTTGTGTAATTATAGAGTAAATGGTTTTTGGAATTCTATAGCAAGTGGACTTTGTGTAATTATAGAGTAAATGGCTTTTTGAAATTTGATAGCAAGAGGACTTTGTGTGATCATGGAGTAAATGGTTTTTGTAATTTGATAGCAAGTGATCTTTGTCTTATTATAGAATAAATGGTTTTTTGGAATTCTATAGCAAGTGGTCTTTGTCTTATTATAGAATAAATGGTTTTTTGGAATTCTATAGCAAGTGGATTTTGTGCGGTTATAGAGTAAATGGTTTTTTGGAATTTGATAGCAAGTGGACTTTGTGTGATTATAGAGTAAATGGTTTTTGAAATTTGATAGCAAGTGGACTGTATGTTATTATGGAATATATGGATTTTGAAATTTGATAGCAAGTGGTCTTTGTCTTATTACAGAATAAATGGTATTTAGAATTTTACTGTGGAAAGTTAGAGTTATTATGGAATAAGTGTCTTTTAGAATTTGATGAATTCTGAATTCAAGAAAGAGGGAGTAGCATTTCAATGAATGTCAGGTCAGTGTATATTTGAATCAAGCTCATGAGACGAAGAGTGAGTGATAAAATAGTAATATATATTATAAAAAAAAGAGTATCTTATAATCAAGTGTACAGGGTGGGAAAAAAGATAAAGTATTGTTTTTAGAATATGCATAAATGCTCCTTTATCTTGAGAATGTTGCTACATTGATAAAAAAGATATTGACATTCTGGTAGATATAGAACCTGTCTGATTTTAAGTCAAATTCGTGAAATAAAAAGAAGAGTTCAAACTGGGGCAAGGAAATAATTAAATATTGGAATAATATTAGTTATCACTGCAACTTTGTTTCACACTGTATTATCAATTTAATACCTGTCTACCTTGTAATCAAGTTAATGGATACAGGAATAAGAAGAAGTATTTGCATGTTAAAGTGATTTCGAAATAAGACTTCTTCATCTCTTTAAGATGGAATTTTTTAACGTAAGAAGGAAAAAAGGAAGACCATTTCTTTAACTCTGACTTTTTCTAATCTCTACGTATATAATAGCATTGAGAAGAATAGCCTTACGATTGCTTATCTATGGGGATAGTAGCATTAACCACGACATGTGCTGCAGCCAGAGCAACGTTACGTTGTGAATTGTAACGAGAATCATGCATACACGTCGGGGCACAGTGTGGAAGATAATTCTGGCCGTCCCGCGCGATATGATTGCAACTTTGTGGTCGTTACGCAACGGCAGCGTCGCGACACGACAAAACAAAGTGCTCCTCGTGTCGCGTAATAAAAGGAAAAACGAGGAGAAAGAAAAAGTAGGAGTAGGAGATGAAATATTGACGCACTATCGATCATCTCGCTTTCGCTGCTTCGAGAACGGAGCTCTGTGCGTATCATGATGAACGGAAAATTTGGGAATATAGAGATTTTGGAAAAGTGGAGATTTAGAGACTTAAAAATTTGGAAATTTAGAGATTTTGGATAATTGGAGATTTGGAGATTTCGAAATTTGTAAATTTAGAGATTTCGGATAATTAGAGATTTGGAGATTTCAAAATTTGTAAATTTAGAGATTTCGGATAATTGGAGATTTAGAGACTTAAAAATTTGGAAATTTAGAGATTTCGGATAATTGGAGATTTAGAGACTTAAAAATTTGGAAGTTTAGAGATTTTGGATAATTGAAACTTTGGACGTTTAGAGATGTAGAGATTTCGAAATTTGAATGTTTGAAAATTTGGAAATTTTCTTGCAGAAATGATCCTCTTCTTTCTTATAGATTAAGCAAACACTTCTCTATCTCCATAGAATTGCTTTTCCTTACTTAGAAAGGAAACTTTGCCACTATTGTGGAATCGAGGGCTTCATGCACACCAAAGGAGCAACAACAACGTGGAGTATCTGAGGGCTCCTTGGCGGCGCGCGTAGAGTCACGGCTTGCCAGCCGGAAGGTCGTGGGTTCGACTCCCCCTTGATACTCCCCCAAATTTTTCCTCGACTCCTAAAATATATGCAGTGAAGTTTTTCGATACTCTATTTCAAAACGCTCTAGCTGTTACAGACCCCATGTATTCAATGTACTTAAATCCAAAAAAAAATCATTCTTTGTTTACTTAGAATTAATAGTGATATTGAGTCACGTGGTGCATGCTTTACATCGCGTGCTCTTCCAATCAGCACAATTTCTCGTCAGACTAATACATCGTAACGAAATAACACACGCGTTTCCTTCAAGTATGTACAAAAAATATCCACACCAAACACGAAGTTCCACTATCGACATAGTACTTCAATAAAAAACTCGAATTGATAGAGTCGTGCAACCATTTACAAACACGAGTCACTCTTTCATCATCGCAACACTTGAGTATCTGTACCAAAACACAAAGAAAGTAACAACTACCTCTCGTCAATAACATTCAAATAAAAAAATTACCACCAAACACAAAAGAAAGTCACTTCTCTCTCGAGCCCTAAATCCAAAAAAACTCGACAACTAAATCCGAGAACTAAAAAAAAAAGAAAAAAACTAACCTAGTCTCGTTTCCCTGTTCCGTTTCAGATTGAGGATGTCCTCAAAGAGGAAGTCACCACCAACGAAGCTATCGGAGGGCGGGGGCGGCACGGGTACAGTGGCAGGCGCCAACGAGGAGGAGGAGGACACGACCTCGTCGGTGACCGGTGGTCCCGGTGGCGAGGTAGCCGTCGGTGAAGAGGGTCCCACCACCCCCGTCGACATCGAGGAGTGTTACCCTCATCAGAGGGGAGGTGACTGCGAGTCGTCCGGCTGTTCGTCGCCGGCGACTACCAGCGAGCCTGATCTACGGGACTCACCATCGCCCTCCTCCAATTCTCTTCGCACCACTAAGCGACAGAGGATCGTACTCTCCAGCCAGGAGACCTTGCCGCCCTACCACTACCCCCACCACCATCATCACCATCATCATCATCATCATCATCACCACACGAATACGTCGTCGTCGTCGGGTGGCGTTGTGGAACCAGCTAGCTCCTCAGAGTGCGGCTCCCCGCCCACCCCTCTAACAGTTGACCCGTACTACCCGAATCATCCTCATCACAACAACAACAACACCGTGACGCAGAATAACAATAACAACGGAGGGAACGCTACCACAGCCGGTAGCAAGAGATCCATGGACGACGTACTCAAGAGGTTAACCTGCAAGATGAACAGCGAATCGCTGTCACTACAGGACGACACCAGCAACAACAGGCGGACAAGTCCGCCCCCCTCCTCCACCCCGACTGGCCACAACGCGCACTGGTTAGTGTTTCGGTTATTTTTTTAGGGGGGTGGTGCTTTGTGAAGTATTGGGGTGTGAGG